CACACACACACACACACACACACACACACACACACACACACACACACACACACGGTTTTTCTATCTTTGTGGAGACTTTACATTGACTATTATTCGTTTTCCAGCCATTTCTATAGCCTAAGCCTGACCCTTTACTCCAAACCTACCCCTAACTTAATTTACACCTTGATCCTAAACCTGACCCCCCACACAAAATTAGCATCTGCACCTGTGGGGACCAGGCTTTGATCACCATAAGGAGCCTGTGTTTTTCAGGAAAATGGTCCCCACGATGTAGCAAAAACGTGTCCCCACACGCACACAAACACACGTGTCAACATGTGGATTCACAGCAGCAATTAGAAGATTTACTAGACTTTTCATGAGCATAAAAAAAGCTCATGTTGTGCAGCTGAAGAACAGATGATTGGAGTCCAGCCGGGTGGGCTAAATTATTAAGTTTACCTCATCGATAAATAGTTTAAACCATTAAAAGGAGAAAAATGTCCAAATAAAAACTTTGAAAGATATTCAGAAAATCTGAAGAACTATTGATCAAGACCACTTTAAAAGATTACAAGAAACTCTGACTCCCCAAAGAGAACCATATAAAAAAAGTGAACATTTGTTTTTAAGTTTTGCACAACGCTGTATGCCCCCCCCCCCATAACTGGTTCAGTGACTGGCATTTCTTAACATCTTTCAAATATAATGATCAAAACCACTCAGACCTACTGATCTGTTCGTTTCATTCATATAGATTTATGCACCTCATTGACTCAAAGTCCATCTCGCTCATGTCATTATTAAGAGTTCATTTCAAACACACCAGAGCTCAAGAATGACGGTTTTTAAACATAAAAAGCAACTTTATGCTCGGCCTGTGTATTGACACGTCATTTTCACCTGCTTGCCTCATTTTCAGGCTCTTTGGGAGGTCTTTTTATGGACGGGGAGGACTCGGCCTCATCCAACCCTGTGGAAGACATCAGCAAGTGGAGTGTGGAGGATGTGTGTGGCTTCATAAGCAGCCTGGCTGGATGTGCTGAATACGCACAGGTGAGAACACAGGAGGAGGAAAGAGAGAGGAGGGGGATGGAGGCCAGGGGCAGGTGGACTATTAATCATAGAAGAATAGTGCCAATGATATAAGATATGCAAAAATAAGTAATTTTAAGATAAAGGCAGGGGCTTGAACTGTTTGTCAGTTTGTGAGTTTAATGTGTGCTGCTGTATGAATGGTTGGGTTCAGAGTCTGATTGGTGGGCTTTGTTTGAATGACGTGTATGCATGTACAACTGGTGTTTATCAGATGTGTAAATATGTTCCCTATATGTGTGTCCCTTAAACATAATTCACAGAGAAGTTGTTTGATTTTTAAAAAGGAAAGTTTTTAGAATCCTAAAAGCATTTTTTCTTTGTAGATGTTTAAAAAATGACCGAATTCAAAGTGAGGTCATTCTTTACTAAAGTTATTCCAATGTAAGAAAAGTGGGACAACAAGTCTTATCCATCTTTCACACCAAACTTATTTTAATAACTTGGATAACTTTAGAAGAAAAATTGAAAACTATTTTAATACCTTTAAACAAATTTACATTTAGTTTCTGAAGGCAAGACGGTGACCTTTTCATCCCTCATTCCAGTGGTTCCCAACCCTTTTTCCTCAAAGCTCCAACCCTTTCTTACGTTCAAGCCAAGCTGATCACCCCATCACTCGCYAAGTACTCCCCACATCTCCCAAAGATGCGTTCAGCCTTTATCAATAGTTACAGACAAGGTTTTGGTAGGTTTGGTTAATTTCATTGATAAGAAAAGTACTCCAGTAAAAGTCATAAAACTGCCCACAATAACTGGGAAAGTAAAAGTACTTTTACACGCACTAAGAAATGAAGTGTTGAATTTACTTAAACTGGTTCCACTAAACCGAGTCGACTGAACTCCGATTATAGGAAACATCAGAGGTTTATAGTAACTAAGTTACTATAATTACTTTGTTACAGTACTTCAGTAGTTTTTTTTGAAGATTTGTGATTTAACTGATTATTTTAATACTGTAGCTACTTTTACTTTTATTTTGTTACATCTTAAAGCTAAAAATGATACTTTTACTTCTTTACTTTAAAATGTAACACTTAGTTACTCATTACAAAATTAAATCTGTTCAAACTCATCATGAAAGATGTTTCTGCACTCTTAAAAAGTGTTGAATTTACTCAATAAAATCAYGTTAACTGGCTCCACTAAGCCTAGTCAAGCTAAGAATATACGGTACATACTGTATATTGCTCAATTTACTCAATCTGGCTTAGTGGAACCAGTTTGGTTCAGTAAATTCAACAGTTTATTTCTTAGAGAGTGTGTAAAAGTACTTTTACTAAGTAAAGTTTTATTTATAAAGCGCCTTTCACAGAAATATATTATTTCCCAATTTTTGTGAACAATTTTATGACTTTTACTTGAGTAGTTTTCTCATCAGTGAAAAGTWTTTTTTTTTTTACCAAAGTCATATTCTGTTCATGTAATTTTACTTTTACTTATTTTTTTTCCAAGTACTTTATAGACCTCTGGGAACCAGTTGACATAACTGGGTTAAGTAAATTTAATGCTTAATGTTTTAGAGTGCACAAACAACTACTTGCATGATGAGTTCGATCATATTTAAATTTGTAACGTGTAACAAGGTGTTAAATTTTAAAGTAAAGAAGTAAAAATATTATTTTTATAGTAACAAAATGAAAGTTAAAGTCACGATTAAAAAATACTTGGTAAAATAACAAATTTCATAAAAAACTAACTTAAGTACTGTAACAGAGTAAATGTACTTTGTTATACACCTCAGATTAAAACAAAAAGTCTTTATTGGAAACACGTTAAAAGCCCATCAGACCGCTCTACCTGGGTGTGGAGATCAGCCGTACAGATAAACTATTCACGGCTCTGTAAGACTTTGGACTCGAGCCACTGTTTTGTTGCGTGTGAGTGAGTGTGTAGATTGTGTGTGCGTGCGTGCACACGTTGGGGCTGTGGCTGAAGCGGCTGTGTCTCTGCCAGGTGTTTCGGGAGCAGGCCATTGATGGAGACACATTACCGCTGCTCACTGAGGAGCATCTGCTCAACACCATGGGACTAAAGCTGGGGCCCGCACTCAAGATCCGCTCACAGGTACACACATCGCAGACCTGTGTGTGCGTTGGAACGGAAGTTTATGTGTTTGAATGTTTGGGGAAGAAAAAAAATTGATTAGTTTAGCGTAGCATAGCTAACTCCCCATAGCCTGCCCCTGCAAACTGCTGCCTCTTTTCTTCTTCTCTCTAAAATATAGTTGTTGTTTTTAATAAATGGATCCCTGACACAAAGCTCAGCGAGTTGTTCTGACACTCATGTGGTCTCATCTCCTCAGGTGGCGCGCCGCGTTGGCAGGCTTTTCTACATGACAGGATTCCCGCTGGCGCTCCCGTTTCCACCTTCTGCCATCCTGCGCCCCCCAGATCGGGATCGAGACCCCCAGACCACGCCATCTGACACACCCCTGCCCCTCTCTCTGTCCCTGCCGCACCGGCCCACCTCCACCAGCAGCGGCTCCTCTCCATACAGCGGCCCCACACCGGGGTGCTCCACCCCCAAACGGGAAAACGGCACCAGCTCCGTGGTGGTGGGACGATACGAGGCTAAAACCCCCTCGTAGGATCACGAGAGGGAGAGATCTGTAACGGRTGGGCCAAAGCGGGGTCACAATCGGACCACATTTACTAAACTCTCCTTTACCTTCAGACATTTTAACTTAAAACCATGGGAAATTATGACTGGRACAGGAGACTTTTGGACGGCCTTAGCAGCGGCTGGAGACGAGCAGAATCCAAAGAATCTGGGCTGGAAGGGAGAAACGTGAAGTGACAGAGGAACGGAGAAAGAGAGGGAAATAGAGACAGCTGGTCACCGACAGCCTGCCAAGAAAAAGAAGCAGAGCTCTGCCACAAATGCGACATTTTTGCAAATCAGACAGACGCTAGCGGAAACTCATCCTTCCTTCCTGAGCAGGAGGAAGCTCTCCTCAGTCACTTTCTTTCTCTCGTATCCATCTCTGACTGTGCTTACCCCCAAGCCCTGCAGAGCCCAGGAATAAAAAAAGAAAAGAAAGAAGCGATGTCTCTCCCTTCTTTTCCCTCCCTTCCTTCTTGACTATTTGCAGAGGCCAAACGGCAGTGTGGCGCTTTTCTTTTTTTATTTTGTATAAAGTCTGGAGTTGAAACACATGCTGAAGAGCACTGGATATGACCAGTTCCCTCTAATATCACTGCAACTATGCATTCCACTGTCCTGATACCAAAGAAGATACCGGACATGTGGAATTGGAACCATGATTCATAACGTGTCTGATTGTTTTTGTGTTAATTCTCAGAAAAATAAATCGGGTTCAGGKAAAGGGACTCACAGTGGACTCTATTTAATGATGTAGGTTTGATGCTCAAAACTATCAGAAAAGGAGGAATTTGTCATTGTACACTTGTGTTGACTACTGTCAGAGGTAGGATGAACATGCAGAATTGTACAGAATCACGCTTAAGATGAAAATATTCTGGTTACATACGTGGTACTTTCACTTTCTTTTTGTTAAATGTAGTTGCACGAATAAGAATTTCTTTACTGAAAAATGTGACTTGCTGAACTTTGGTGGTACTTTTGTTCCTAATTTTCTAAATAAAATTTAAAAAATGTAATATTACAAAAAAGAAATCTCAAATCTCAAATGCTACTCAAGCATATAAATATGAGGACAAAATTATTTATAGGACTTTTTGATGTAGTAGATAAAGCAGATTATGATATGTATTAGCCCTTAAGATGGAATCCAAAGATACTTTCACTTTGTTTTCTCTTGGTTGCAGGGAAAAGACAAGGCACAAAGCTCTTAATGCAAATGTTTTGAATTTCTTATGGATTTTTTTTAACTTTGCAAGCAATGAATTAAAATGCTCTTTAGATTTCCCTTCAAAAGTTTTGTTTTCATCCTATTTTTCTATTCACCACACAGGTGAAATAAATCCTACAGAATATTCTGTTTCCATTCTCTCTTGTGTTTGTGCTTTCATCTGAAAACCTGCAAAGGCACCCCCCCTTTTTTTCTCTTCTTCTCAGGTGTTTGTGGTTCTTCCGTAAGGAGGGGTGGGGGTGGGGGGAAGCGACCCAGGAGGGGCACAGTTTAGGTCAACACCAGCTGTTGGGAGTGTGAGGTTCAGCCGCAGGCCAAGGCCTTCCTGCCTCCTGTGGGGGCAAACCTGACCCTCCTCATACACCCACCTACACTCACACACACGCGCCCTCGCTCACCTCCCTTCTTCAAAGCAAGCTCTGAGGGGACTTCCCTTTGCTTTAAGCGAGCTTCAACGTCAGAATGTTCTAAATTCAGTGAAAACTACCACAGAAGCGCGACAAAAAAGTTGCTCAGATTAAAACATCCACTTGTGGTCTTTGAAATTATTAAATTAACGTTGTTGTGACCTTTAAAACAATAGATTTAGGGTTAGGCAGTGTGCGCTAAAACGCTGATTTGAACTCTATGCGTAAAATGCACTTGCGATTATTTTTAAAATTGCATGAAAAATTGGTAAACGTTTTTAAACCAGGCAGCTGGACTCAAATCATCAGRTACTCCTCGACTGGAAACATTTTAACATTATGGGGRCTTATAGAGCTGAACTCCTATATGGAACAATGTATGACACATTTGAGAGATTGCCCACCTCTATGTGCAGCGATTGTTTCCATCCTGCCCCCAAATGTCCTCGCTGGCAGATTCTGGCAAAGTTGCAGAGAAGTCGAGAAAGAAAGCCTTTAAAGCAGGAAAGCTGCGCCTTCGCGTGTGGAGACAGAGACTGAGAAGACAGTGGTGTGGGCAGGAGGTGGGTGAGGAGTTGGCACAGAAACAGGCCAGCCTGTGTTGCAGCTCGACCACCTGGGCAGAGTCTTGGCACAGCTTCAGACGACGCCCTGCCAGCCAGGCGCAGCTCTGCTGCCTCTGGGCTCAACAACCCGCCTCCCCGCACCCACCCTCCGGCCCGGCTCGGCCCAGCCAGCCTCGCAGATCCCACCTTCAAAGCCTGAAGGTAACCTCAGGTGTGCGCGTGAGCAGAAGACGCAAATTTCTTCTCCTTTTCAGGTCCACTCGTGTGCTAGTCTACAGGAATCATAAATAAAAGCTCCAKTAACAGACACAGTGTGGATTCTTCAAAAGTTTACCAGTTTCAAAGCTCCATGAAATACACCATAATCTTATTTGTGCTGTACACATGAAGTAAAATGTAAAATCACAGAGAAAAAAAAAAGTCCAAAAAATAACATGAATGTGAATGTTAAAAAGGGCAGAACAAATGGGAGGAATCCTAGTCTTCATCAGACAGCTGCAGGTCTTCAACCACATCCTCCTCTCCCTCTGCCAGCTTTATCAGAGCTGCAGAGGTCAGCGACTGAGGAGCCGTGGAGGCTTTTTCATCATCATCATCATCATCATCATCATCATCATCATCATCTTCCTCATCACCTAGAATACAAACAGGACAGACACTTAAAGACCAACCTCATAGGAATATCCTTAACTGGAAAATGTTTGATATAAAAACATCAAAAGATTATTACAGAAAATCCAGATTAAGTTATTAAACATGGTAAAAACATTACCTCCACTTCAAGCTACAGTACACACCTCACATTTTTGTAAATATTTCATACATTTTTCATGGAACTACACTGAAATCACAATGTAAAGTAGTCAGTATAACCTGTATAATTTACTTTCCCTTCAAAATAATAAAACAGCCATTAAATGYGTAAACMACTGGCAACAAAAGTGAAGGGTGTACTTGTGTCAGACACTATGTACTTAAAAAATACTAAGTAAACAAAGTTTTTTAGTGTCTAAACAACCGTTTKTATATTCATTGTCCCACTAAGACTGCGGAAGTAAAACTGGACCTTTAAAAACAAAATACCCAAATAAGTTTTAGAGATTAAACCCAAATTTAAATAAAATAAAATCTGTAAATTTCGGTCAGATATTTAATGCTACATCTAAAGTTACTTTAATGGTTAATTAATCTTTGTTAGTTTTTGATGCAGGTTTTTGTGAGGTTGTTGGTTTAGTTCTGATGGTTTACTGACCTGAGTCTCCTTCATCATCACTCATGTCAGACAAACCCTCCAGATCATCATCATCATCATCATCTGAAGCATCGTTGCTCTTTTTACCTGAGAAAAAAAAAGCAAGTAACAACCATCAAACCACACAGATTTGTGTCTAGCCTTTCTTATTTCAGATTAACTAAAGTTTGCGCTGGTGCTTCCATGACGTCTGAGGACTTTGGAGACATAGATATGTGGGCCAGGTATCAGAGGCAGCTGGAWGTGTCTATTTCCTCCTGAGATGGAACTGAGAGTCGATTACAGACGCCGCTGCCGCTGCTGCACAAACACCCATGACAGTTTACTGCCGGCAATTTCAGACATCTTCTGCTCTCGGCCTAAATATAGCAAATGAAGATAGCAGACAGGTTCCAGAGCTGCTGTGATGATGGCAGTCGGTGTGTGTGTTTGTGTAGAGAAGTTTGGAGTTTGTCTGAACTTGTGCTGCGCTATCCTCAAGAGAGTGTGTGTGTGCGCGTGTGTGTGTTTTCTAGCCAAAAGGACAACTGGGGTCCAGAAGCTTTGAAGTTAAGACGTGATGAGAGGCTGATGGCGTGATGGAGAGAGGTAAAGCACAGCTACTTCCTCTGTGTGTAACACTGCTCACACACACACACACACACAC